AGTTGGTGAACCACTTAGGGGCCACAGTGGTTCAGTTATGTCTGTATCATATTCTCCAGATGGCAGACATGTGGTCTCAGGATCTTATGACAAGACAGTGAGAATCTGGGATACAACCACTGGCCAACCAGTTGGTAAACCACTTAAAGGTCATAGTGATGCTGTCAACTCTGTAGCATATTCTCCAGATGGCAGACATGTGATCTCAGGATCTCATGACAGAACAGTGAGAATCTGGGATGCAACCACTGGCCAACTGGTTGGTAAAACAATTCAGGGTTATAGTTCTTTAGTTGGGTCTGTAACATATTCTCCAAATGGTAAACCACTTCAGGGTCATTGTTCTTTAATCAGGTCTGTAGCATATTCTCCAGATGGTAGACATATGGTCTCAGGATCTGATGACAAGACAGTGAGAATATGGGATGCAAACACTGGCCAACCAATTGGTGAGCCCATTCATGGTCATAGTTCTCCAGTTTCATCCATAGCATACTCTCCAGATGGTAGACATGTTGTCTCAGGATCTGATGACAACACAGTCAGAATGTGGGATGCAACTTCTGGCCAACCAATTTGGGGACCAAGTCAGGGTCATAGTTCTGTAGTCTTGTCTGTAGCCTATTCTTCAGATGGCAGACACATGGTTTCAGGATCAGATGACAAGACAATTAGGATCTGGGATGCAACTACTGGCCAACCAATTGGTAAACCACTTAATGGCCACAGTGATTCAGTGAACTCTGTAGCATATTCTCCAGATGGCAGACATGTAGTTTCTGGGTCTGATGACACAACAGTAAGGATCTGGAATGCAACTACTGGCCAACCAGTTGGGAAACCACTTAGAGGTCACTCTAAGTTAGTCTTTTCTGTAGCATATTCTCCAGATGGCAGACATGTGGTCTCAGGATCTTATGACAAGACAGTGAGAATCTGGGATACAACCACTGGCCAACCAGTTGGTAAACCACTTCAGGGTCATAGTTCTTTAGTCAGGTCTGTAGCATATTCTCCAGATGGTAGACATGTGGTCTCAGGATCTAATGACAGGACAGTGAGAATTTGGGATGCAAACACTGGCCAACCAGTTGGTGAACCACTTAGGGGTCATAGTGATGCTGTCATCTCTGTAGCACATTCTCCAAATGGCAGATGTTTGGTCTCAGGATCTCATGACAGTACAGTGAGAATATGGGATGCAACCACTGGCCAACTAGTCATCAAACCAATTCAAGCTAGTTCAGTCTCTTCTGTAGCATATTCTTCAGATGGCAGATATGTGGTCTCAGGATCTGGTATGATAGTGAGAATTTGGGATGCAGCCACTGGCCAACCACTTGGTAAGCCAATTCAAAATCATAAGGAATCAGTTACATCTGTGGCATGTTCTCCAAATGGCAAACATGTGGTCTCAGGATCTTATGACAGCACAGTGAAAATCTGGGATGCAAGCACTGGCCAATCAGTTGGCAAACCAATTCAGGGTCACAATTCTTTAGTCTTTTCTGTAGCATATTCTCCAGATGGCAGACATGTGGTCTCAGGATCTGATGACAGGACAGTGAGAATCTGGGATACAACCACTGGCCAACCAGTTGGTGAACCAATTCAAGGTCATAGTGGTTTCCACTGTGTAGCATATTCTCCAGATGGCAAACATGTGGTCTCAGGATCTTTTGACAACACAGTCAGAATCTGGGATGCAACTTCTGGCCAACCAGTTTGTGAACCACTTAAGGGTCATAGTTCTGGTGTCAGCTCTGTAGCATATTCTCCAAGTGGCAGATATGTGGTCTCAGGATCTTTTGACAACACAGTGAGAATCTGGAATGCAAACACCAGCCAATTATTCCAAAGTCAGCATAACCCTCACTCTGTGCAATTTCCAGTGAACAAACACATTCTTCCACATTCACATTTTGCAGCCACATCAGAAAAGTGTATTCCTTGTTTAGGTCTTGTCAACCTGAACTATATATCACAAAATACTCTGTTGGCTTCTGCTCTTTTAATGGCTGATTCCTTTCATGAATGGGTTACCTTGGATAATAAACACATCATCTGGCTCCCCTTACATCTCAGAAAACACATTTTACCATCTCTTGTCTTGACTATTTCTCAGGATCCACTTGACTACAAACTTACCATGGATTGGACAAACTTTGTCCATGGAGAGCAGTGGGCATCTGTCTTCACAAATTGATTTTCCTTCCCTTTACAATCTTACATTGTATACATAAGTATGTATTTTGTATGTAATTATCACTAGTAGCTTTTTTTTGTACTTGCATGTAGTTACACCAAAACATAAGCCTTTTCTCTTCTGTGCTCAGCACATGTGAATAATTAGCCTGATCTTCTAAAGCATCTAGCAAACAAAAACCTTTCAAGTTACTTCCTTGCTTTTGAGTTGAATACTGCATTGGAGCTCATCAGGTGTGTAAAGGTCAAATGGAGTGCTGTCAAGAAGAGAATGGAAAATATACAAAAAAATGCCACGTACCCGGATTGAACGAGTGACCTTCTCATATCACAACAGGTTGCTGTACAAGTGAGACGCGCTACCACTACGCCAACGCGGCTTGTTTTGTTACATCAATCCGCGATTGATGATCAGCAAGCTGCCACATGTGCACTCAACCATCTATCTGTGTGCAAAAAAATCGAGCTCGACGGACTATACCGCAAGGTCAAAATTCACGATGCCTTGCGTTCGACGTCACCTATTCAAGAGACCGTCGAAGCTTAAAACTCAGAGCACCTCATACAGGCCGACCCTCCAGTCCTTATCAACCCCAAACTCGGGCTTGGACACCCTATCCAATGGGTCAATCTTCCGATTCCGTTCCTTCTCCTCCATCCGACTCGCAAATGTATCTTCCTGCTCTACCGCACCACCGCTTTCGTCACTCTTAGCCCAAATCTCTTTCAAAACTTCTTCAAGATGTTGTTCGAATCGAGTGATTTGGCCTTGGAGCCGTAAGCCCTCACGACGATGTTCTTCGGTGAATTGAAAGAGATGTGGAAGGAGGTTTTTTGTTTCGTCTATGTGAAAGCATATGGGTAAGCGATCGACTTCGGAGGAGAGAAGATCTCGTACCACGCGTGGCGGAGAACCGTCCAACCAGCTTCGTCACCGACCGCAAAAGGTATTCCTCTTCATCAACAGTCCCCTTCTTTCCTGACCCGACCTTTCGTTCAAGTTTCCGTTTTGATCTCGAGGACCGCCTACGAAGGTCATTAGACGAGCTACCTATGGCACAAAAAGATCTTACTTGGACGTCCGTGAAGCCGAAGTTGGTGCCGCCGTATAACGAGTGAACACAGTCGCAGGCATCGACGCGTCTGTCATAACATCAACGTTGTGCAGTGTTGGATCCTCCATGTTATAGAATGCATCTGAAGATATCCGATTCGCAAAGTCAACACGCCGAATAAGCTGTTCAAAAAACGGTGAGCTCTTACCAGGTTCTTCAACCTTCTTCACGCGCAACTCACGCAACCGACTCCGCTGCTTATCCAGCTGCTCCTGCATCTCCCGTAAATCCTCCGCAATCTGTGCACGGCTATCCAAGGCGCCTGGGTGTATTATTTCTTCCAGGAGTCCCGGTTCCAAATTCATCTTCGCCTATAGCACGACACACGCTAATCAGGACCAATCTCCTGATAAATTCAGGTATAGGACTTACAACGCGCCGAGCTTCAGAGAACAGGTTCCCTTCAACAAGAGAAATCACCGCCTGCCGAACATTCTTGACATAGTCGAGATACACCCTCGCAGCTTCTGCGAATCGCTTCTTTGATATCAAATCATCTATCCAACAGTGAGCTTCCTGTCTCCAGCTGAAGTCTGAAAAAGGGGCACCTGCTATCCGGTAAGCCATCGCTTCAACGTCCTCCTTCGACACATCAACATCCAACGCAATATTGAACATCTCCCGCCATTCCAACCCTTTTTCGTGAGATATCATCGCCTTATGCAATTTCTTCGCTTCGCAGAAAACTACGGTCTCTGTCAGCTCCTGTTCCAACCCCGGAATCGAAGAAAAGGAGGAATGTAACGAACCAAGCGCAGCCTGTCGGAACTCTCTCCTATCATACAGCCAATCCCCATACAAATCCAAAATCGTTCCATACTTCTCCGTCTCTTTCCATATCTTCAGCGCAACTTCATATAGTTGATATTGTTCTATATATGCGGTGGCTTCGTCGAACTTTTCTTCGGCTAACCAGAAGACCTGAGCCCCATGACGAAAGAATGGCAGGAACAAGACTTACCCGCGAGACTTAGATTCTTCAACGCACTCTCTCTTCGTTTCAGGTGGTCGTCGATTTTAAATCGTTGATAATACTTGTCCAATGCACGGAGTTCGCGGAGGAAGGGTAGATACTCCCGAGGATCCTGATATACGCGTGTCAGTCCACCAAACTAGCAACCTAGTCGACGTGGGGTGTATAAGGTCAACATACCTTCTGCGCATACTGCGCAATCATCAACACCAACGAGAAATCATACATTCCCAATGCCACATCAAACAACCTATCCGCATCGGCCAAAAAGATCACATATTTCACGGCTTCTTCTACGACACTCTGTTCGTTCTCTAAGAATGAAGGGAGATTAGTCCCGTGAACGGAAAAACAGGGAAAAGCGATAACACAAAACACAACCGAAACAAAGACGAAAAGTGAAAAGTGAAAGGGACACACCTCGAAGTCGATGCAAAACGCTCAATGCAGCCTCATAATCAGGTGGCCTCTTGACAACATACGCAGTCAACACCGAGTTGACATACTTCTTCAGATCTATGCGTTCCAGTTCGACCCGTATCGCATCGCACAACCTAGCTATTGCTTCTGACGACAGTGTTCCCCGGCTGTAAGACCATAGTCACGAACTCCAGCCGAAAAGGCGAGAAGAAGAGGGAAGACTTACCCAATGTTGGTCAAAAGCAGATTAATATGATCCATTTCGTGGATCTGTTCCACAACTACCGCAATGTCCTCCAAAAACTTGGTCTCGTTATGCGCCACCAAGACATTCAAATCGATCCTATGTTTCCGACAGGAGAAGAACGCTTTCCTATAATTCGACCTATCCAGCTGGTATTCAGCGACACACGAAGACAACGACGAAAAAAGGAACGAAAAAAGGACACACACCCATTCAAATCTTGCTTGACCACCTCCATGACCAACGGTCTGGGACTAATCGTCTCCAGATTGCCTCTCGGCATCTGTAGAACTAACGCCATAGCGCTTGGAACCGCAACCACAATCCTCGACCCCCTTTCCACCCTCCTCTTCTCCCACTCCGGGAAATTTCCTGTGGTACCTTTAGGACCGATTCCATTTCCAGGTGCGTTACCAATGAAGGTGAATTGGTCGTCCTCGTGAACCCCGTTCGAAGCGGACGCCGCGATGAGAACATCCACTATAGCAGAGATAGGCGCAAAAAGGACTTCATGTGCGTTCGTGGTATAAATCACGAATCCAGAGGCAATAGTGAATGAAGTGACATTCGTGCCAAGTTCCTTCGTCTGACCAGATGTCGACGCATAGAGTTTTCCTCTCCCATTGAACCCAACATATAAAACCGCGTCTTCGTGGCTGGTTGATGACGATACCCGTTGGGTTTGCGGACAAAATAGTGGGAATTTAGCAGTAGTGGGTGTGAATGCGTCCAAAGAGTCGTTATCTTGTGACGAGGTCAACAAAGGAACGGAGGTGGAAGTTGCGAAGGGAAGGCCTGCTTACATTCACACAAACTTCCATCAGGGTCATACCATGAGACCGCCCGGGCCGGTCCTGCACAAACCACCAGCCTCCCATTGTTTTGCGGGATGGAAGACCTCTTCTTGACTTTGAATCCACGGGCTTTTTCTTCTGCCCCTGCTCCTTCTTCACCAGTAAACTCAACGAAGATAGCTTCGTCTCCATTCGAAGTCTTCACGAGAACAATAACCGAGTTCTCCTCAACACCCCACTCCACCTGTCTTGCTGAATCCCCATCTCCACTCCCATCCACAAAGACACTCCCTCGAGCAACCAAGGTCGGATCCATGACCTTCCCTCTAGGACCAGTGCCCACACGGGTTTTCAAATCCCATATCTCCAACTGACCCCGTTCCCACAGCACCGCAATGAAATCTTTGACAGCTGAGAATGCTAGATGAATAGGAAGACGCCAAGGTCCGTCGTTAGCTGAGAGATCGGACTCTGATACCTGCGGTGTAGGGTTTGGGAGGGTGTTTCCGAATAGTGTAATTTTGGATGAGGACATGGGTGGCGGTATATTTTGTAGGCGGAATGGCGTGAATAGGAGGTGAGCTGTTAACCGTGGATTAGGAAAGACATGTAAACGGTGCTTCAAAGAGGGGAACGCGTACCTCCATCAATAACAGCGACAGATCCTGAATCTGTAGGCGGTGCTGCGAGAGATGCGTAAGTCTCCCACTTATATGCACGTGTAATAATTTGAGCTAAGAAATATCGTCAGGCGCTGGAGGGGATGAGCTATATGTAAAAACCCCGTACAGGTCGTGGTCAACCGAAGCACAAGAACTTGTTCAGGATGCCATGTTAGAGAAGTAAACCTCGCCGGTTCGCCTGTCTGCTTCTTCGGGGCCCATATCTCTTGCTTTAAATACCTAAAGAAAGTAAATACACGTCAATATCAACATCCCCTTCGATGAGCGAGATGGGTAACATACCAATGGTAATTCCCCGTCGTCCATAGTTGAACTACACAAGCACAATACCGTTAGCCCCTGATCGTGGCCTCGCAGTTACACAAACTTACCTACCTACATCGGCTTCATCGTGTTCAACCCAAATACTCAAAACAGTCGAATCCGCATTCCAACCCAACTCCTTCACTCGATACCCCCATCTCCTTTTTACCACTCCCCCGGCGTCATCGTTGACGGCCTTCTCTTTCCCCGACGCAGTGGTCCTCCCAACGAACAGAGAAAACTCTCCATGCCTCAACCCATTCCTCTCAAAGAAAATGACATCATGTCTTCCTTCCCTCCCAACACCCGCTCCATCAAACCCACCAAATCTCTGCGTTGAAGCGATCAAGTTGCCAGAAGGTCTCCACGCGACTGAACATTCTAACCCACCCACGTCTTCGGATGTCGTTTGCAAGCGACCTTCGCGGTCGTACACACGAAGTATACGCCTCCTAAGACGCGAGGTAGAATTTGGTGGAGGTGGGGGTGATAAGGCCGATATAACGAAGTAGGCAGCATCACCACGCCATGTAATCCGAGGGAGGTAATCGTCATCTGGACTTGAACCGACAACGGTAGTTTTGGGAGCTTGGGCTGCAGCTTTGCCTAACGAACCATGGAATTGAGTTTGCTTTGAGCCCCATCCTACGTTGATTGGGGCATCTGTCAGATGTTAAAGAGATTAGTTAAGTTGGCAGTGGAGGTTTGAAAGCATATGGCGAGACTGGGACAAAAGACTAACCTTCTCCGAAATCGGATGTGTGTAGAGGTGCTTCGGAGAGTGTGTCGAACGTTGTTGTCATTAGTAGGAGCTTGAATGAAGCTGCATAGATGGGGTATTCAACCAC